AAACCACAAACAGGCTGCAAGGTTTACAGTCAAACAGGAAACATAAAGAGGACAGAAAGTCAACTTACTAGTAACCTTCAGTTTAGATTTAAGGATTTCTCATGGATTAAATGAGCACAAAATCAAGTGGGCCTCTGATATCAGTAAAAGTCAATTTGACTGACAGATGAAAGCTCAGGATTCAATTCTTGGCTCTCCTACGAAATATGTGTAATTCTGTATTCTACCATTGCTGAGGTTAGAAAAGATTTTTCTGGTGTCCAAAATGAGGTTAGTAAAATTTTGCCGCCTCTCAAAAGTACTACGACAAATTCAGAAAGATTTGAAGGTGCTGCGATACGTAAACCGATTCAAGAATATGTATTGCCTTTAGCCAAGCACAAACCATCACATGATTTCAAAAGAGAGAAATATTAAAATCCAAAAAAGTTAAATCTCTGCTGATTGCTTCCCTGTAGTTTAATTAGTGAGGAAAGGCAGTAAGGCATCACAGAATTTCCATTTCAGTTTTACTGTTCCCCACAGTCAATATTTTATGCCTGCGTTTTTATTTCTAGATCCCAGGGACACATACGAACCATTCAAACTCTGTCTTTTGTTTTCTATCACGAGAAATCCTGGACACAAATAAAATCTCATAATGGACCACTATTATTCCTCTCCTCCCCTTCTCTTCCATGAAATAAACACGTTGTACTAAAGTAACAACATACAGACACTCTGGTTTACTTAGAAAGATAATTCTGCTATCCAGGTTACTTCTGTAAGGAGCAACAAGGATACGTGACACCTGTACTCAGCAAGAAGACTTGAAACATGAAAGAACCCTGTACACTGTGCTATGCAGTGGCAACGCTAAGAACTCATAACAAAAAGTATGCTCTGTTGCTAGAATCCCATCTAAAAAAGAAGTAAACACTAACTCTCAAACACAACCTTTTGTTAAATAAAATCTCACACCACCTCTCACCTATGTTTTTTTCTTCTGAAAGACCATGTTCTTCTAAAAATATTCCAAGGGTTTTTTTCTCCTTCTTCTTCAGAAGAAGGTGACCCTAAGGTACGATAATCTTAGAGAAGGAAACTAGTCAACAGAATTTCTTTTATAAGTTTATTCAGCGCCACTACCATAACAAAACATGCTTTGGGGAAAAAAGAACACCTTTCAGTACTTTTTAAGGCCCCAACTTTTAGTGTTGTATCAGTCTTATCAAGGAACTACAATCACTTATGTCTAAGAAAATACTGCTAAAAAACCTGTAGCTCTGAGTCTTTCTGGAAGACTGCACAAAAATGTCTAACCCCAAACTTAACTAAAACGCTAAGTGCATCACAGGTGTCAGACCTGCAAACGAAAATGCAAATGTTAGACTCAAAGCTCAATAAAAGAAGAAAACCTCCTCTATCACTAGTCTTATGTTTTACCACAAAAGAACTGAGTCATAACAGTGCCAGAAGCTGTGCTAAGCTGCAATGAATACACGGCTCTACTAGAAAATTCCATGTGAAGACTTCAACAAAGCAATCGTAAGCAATCTAAGCATAAGATCAATGAAATAAAACAAGAAACATGCTACAGTCAAAAAAACCACAAAATCTAGATCAGCTTTTCATCAGCTTTAAATCGCATTTTGACTTCTATAACCTGCTTCCATTTGTTAACTGAAGGGCAGACATACTGCATACTCAGCTTGCATGATAGATATCTTTATTGAAGAAGTTATCTGGATGTTGAAGAGAGAAAATCATCTTTTCAACGCTGTTTGATAGGTCTCCATGTGCCAATTAGTCTTCAGAAAATTCTAGTTCTGTTGGAAACATGGATTGATATTATTTATATTATAAATTATTAACATTTCTGAGCACCCATTTCCCTATATTTGTCTCCTTTTTGTTGAAATTTAGAAACCTGTGATATGTCAAAGTCATTCAACTGTTCTGTATTCCCATGGAGAAAGATTATAAATAAAATTATCCCCACCCCACCCTTACACTGATGAAATGGGCCTTAATAAAGATAATGGAAATCTAGAAAATACAATGCACAAGGCTTAACAGGAAACTGTGTTAAGTTTAGCACAGTCTTTCCAGTCTTCTCTGCTTAACTGGAATTGGAATTTTGCTCCAAGTTCTCCCCACTACAGCTATTATTTGGCACAGAAAAGACCAAAATCCTAACAGCAGGCTGTGTCTTACACTAATTAGCACACTGTATGTCTCTCACGTCTGAAAATTCGCTACTAGGTGTTAACACTTCTATTTTACCACAACTGTGGCTTTCAGTTAAGAGATCTCAAATATCCAGGTATTATTTTCTTCAGCAACTTCTTAGTAATGTATTTAGAAACATAAATAAACTTGCCACAGATGATAAAGCTATCTAGTGTCGAGGCCACGGGATGCAGCATGCTGGACTATGGATAACAGATGCTGTTGGGATCCTCTGCCTGTGTCTTGTGGCCATACAAAGAACTTCCCATATTCTTGCCGTGAGATCCAGAAAGCTTCCCATGAGAATTGCAAAGGTAAAACACAGGCTTCGAGGATTCTGTGGACAGAAGGGAACAGCTGAACCCCAGACCACAAGAGAAACCACCAATTTTCAGCATACTGTATAAACCCATGCTAAGTGTGTCCTAGAAAAGTTTTCCAAAGATTATCTAAAGAAAAAATAAGAGAAGAAACAACAAAATTACCAGTATTTGAAAATAAAGCTTAAGAAAGTTAAGGATTGAAAATTTACCAACATCACATAAACGTTCTGTTGCATGGGCAAAGTCATGCAGGGTGATCAGATATCCCAGACTGACCAGGACAGACAAAAAATGGAAACTTTTTTTGCAGAATTTCCAATAATTTTACTAGATGATTATTTTCTTGCAAGTTCTAAAGCAGGATGTAAGAATTTCGCTCTCCCCCTTCCTCATATACTGCAGCTCTGGAAAAAGCTGGCCAACAGCCCTAAGAGTCTCACATAAATCCTGGAACGTTACTTACATCCAATTTTTCCTTGCAAAACCAATTTATTTTCACCCTACCATGCAAACATATCCAGGCATCAGAACAAGAACACAAGCCAAACTGTGCTCTTCAGATTCAGTTAGGCAAAGAAGTCACGGTTTCAAGTTCCTGTAGTGTTCAGTCATCCAAAATTAAGAGTGGATACATAAACTATCATTACAAGAGTTCTGGAAAGTGGGAAGTACCAGAAATAAATTTGTAGTTGTCTTATTGTTTTATACTCTTCATTCATTTCATTCTTCATGGAACTCTTGGGTTCCATGATTCCCACAAGTCACAGAGCTAACATTTAATATTTCAACACTGGAAATTGTTTATGGTTTCTTAACTCCAAGAATTGTGCAACAAACTAAGCAAGCTAGTAACCATAGCAACTGTGGCAGAGAAAAAACAAGTTTCAGCTATGAAACTGCAGTGTATTTTTAATTCTTGCAAATGCTATTCTTTCATATTGTACATGTGAAAAAATCCTTAAACATGTACAGTAAATAACGTATATCTCTATTATGTACTAAAAGACACACCTTAGTACTGAGCTGTATGAAGTACTTCATTTCTCTCCTCTTTTCCTCTCTGCCATTATCAGAGTACTATACTTTCTTCTGTTTGTTTATGAACACATGTACAAAAAAATTATAAAGATGCTTCACTGGAGAAGAAAAATGCACCCCACCTAGTAGTTATTTTTATGCAAGTGATTCTAAGCGTGTCGTGGTTCAGTCCAGCCAGCAACTAAGCACCACGCAGCCGCTCACTCACTCCTCCTCCCCGGTGGGAGGGAGAGGAGAAAATATAACATCTACATACCCAAAGAGGGTATTACATGAAGCCCTGTACAATCATACACTGATACTTTGCTTGGAACTATTGTTTCTTAGTGACGGTAAGCAATTACACTTGTATTAATGAATACAAGATAGAAACACTGAAAAGTTTTCCACTCAACTACCTACTTCATCTCAATTTTGGTATTTTATGAAGACTTGAGCAATAAAACTTCCAGGAAGAAAAAGATCTCAAAACTGTATGAAAATTTAAAATTCATTCATTTGGACTATTTGAAGAATTCAACAGACAAAATTATTTGAAATAACTGGTATCCTTCATCAATACTGTGAATACGTCTAAATGAAGGCGGCTACACTTCTTGTCCTCTCTTACAAAACAATGCTTCTAAGTATCTTGCTGTAAACAGCTTTTACATCCCCAAAATTTCAGAAAGCAGAGTGATGCATTTTTGTTTTCTTTTAATAGGAAGAACCTAAATCAAAAAAAACTCTCTCCAAAGATTCGGCAAAATATCATTAAGCTAGACAGACTTTGGGGGCTTCTCATTTTGTTTTGGGAGGTTTTTTGGTTAAACTAGGAATCTTTCTAACAGATAAAGATACGTGCACACAAGTTTCCAGTGCTTCTGTAACACTGCTGAGTAAATTTTAATTCAATCAAATAATGCACCAATTTAATAGAGTCCAAAAACATACAGATCACATCTCCAGTCCTGCAAGTACGAGACATCCATGGAATGAAAAAATAGTGAACCTAGATAAAGCCAGTTTTTCTCTGTTGACTCTGGCATAGAAAATCATCCTCTTGATTTGGATAACAAAGGTCACGACCACATGGTCCCGCTGAAGGCATCTGGTTGGAGATGCACTAAGACAGAAACAAAGCTGCACAGAACTACCAGCACATGTTAACTGCCACGAACAGCAGGACTACTGCTTTGGACTAGCGGGAGGTGGCCCCATCTCTGCAGCTCACAGCACTTCTTTTAGAAATGTCTGCTTTGGCAATTCCATTTATCAAATGTATTTTACACTTGCTGCTTATTTAGCGTTGTATTAATATTGTTTTAATGCATTCTTTTTAATTAAATCCATGAAGTACTTTAACCACAACACACAGATGTAACATTTTTATCAAGTGAAGAAACACAAACCGCAATAAATAGAAATCTAGACACAAAGTCAACATGTCAATTTATTTTTTATTCTCTTTGTACTACCAGAGTCTAGTTTGAACAATCCTTACTCAAAACCATGCAGATTTCACTGGACAGTACAAGTATTTCCTATAGTAACGTTCAGGTACATTACTTAGATTACAAAAATCTTCAAACACTGTACTTCAGAAATAACGAAGCTGGCATACAGCTCTGATGAGATTCCAAAAAGTATGCATTATTTTTAAAATGGCAAACACTGCTTATTTTTCTTTCCATAACCAAATCGTAAACACTGTACCAAGGAAAGATCACGCACAGCAACAGATACTCCGTAAGTTCAGACATCACATTCATACTTTATCCTTACAGTATTTTAATTTAGCGCAGGTGGTTTCATCTATTCAGACCAGTGACTGTAAAATTATGTACCTATATAATAAATAATGGATCCACTAAATCAATAAGGTATTACCTTATAAATAACTGCCAATTCCAATGACACATCAAGACAAATGTTTCTTACAAATCTTATCACCACTCTACCCAAAGTTCACAAAGTCAACAGCAATTACTGAACACAGAAAAATGGCGTACATATAGCCAAACAGGTATCTTAACACTCAGATTTCAACATATGTAATATATGTTGCACACATTAATCCACTAATTAATGCAAAGTTTGACAAGGGTGTCACAGGTTGTGATATTTTATCTCCTGGCATCTTTTACATCAAATGGCAAAGATGCACAGTCTGAACTTTACTTGCACGTATGCAGACTTAACTGGAATGTTTAGAAGGGATAAGTAATACATATCCCAACAGAAAAGTAAAATCACATCGTAATTTTAATAATTAAACCATACTTACTTCTTTAACATCTGCCCCTGACCAAACCTTTGCACAATGTCTTAACAAAGAACTGGTTTTCCATGCTGACAAGTACTGCTTTTATATGTGGGGAAGGTCTGAAGCAATTTGCTTCTTGTAAAAATGACTTCTTCCAAGAAAATGACTGAAAATAAACTAGACCATCTATTATAATATTGAAAGCTTAAACTAGAGAGCTTAATGTAACCACACACTGACAAAGAATTCCAGGCAAGCTACAATTTGTGGGCATATTCTGTTTTAAACTGGCTGCTTTTTACAGGATACTCTCTCTCTCTTCTCCAAAACCAGCTCCTTCTGAAGCCGTAACAGTGTGGAGCTCTGACGAATCTTTTGAAAGCCTGGTATAACTCGAACGCTGGCTTCGCTTGTGAGCAACGCTCTTCAGGTTCTCGTTCTGAACTGTAGATGGATTGGAACCTGAGCCAGGGTGCAGGATAATTGGAGGTGAATCTCTGATACCTTGTATTTCTTCAAAATTTTGATTAGCTCGATTGGTTGGAGCACTGTTATTATTTAAGGTTACTGTACTAGGGGTTCTGTTTAAATTATAGACTTTCTGGCAAGCTGGCCAGTTCTCTTCCGGGCTACTTGCTATCAAGCTGCTTTCAGAAGGGCTTTTCTTATCTTCTGAACAAATAGACATGCGAACCACTGCTGGATCTTGAAGGCCACTAAGGCTGTGTGGAATTCCTCTCTTTCCACTGTGACTGTCATCTTCAAGTTCAATGAGATTTGCCTTTTCAAGCTGTGAATCATCTGCTCCTTCATTATGGAGGGAATGATTTGGAGAACTTTCATTGGATCTTACACCAGAGTCAGATGAATCTTTCTTATCCAGAAGGGCATCTGTCAAATACTCCTTTGCTTTGATGAAGGTTCTAATAGGTTCAGACCCATGTTCTGGAGATTTGGGCTGCTTCTCTATTTTGCCATCTGTTTTCTTATCTTTACCTTCCTTAAGAAGGGGAGTATTATCTGACTCCTCAGTTCCTGACTCATCTTCATCACTTGGAAGTTTCTGATACCGGAGAGTAACTCCCTTAAGTTTTAAATCTGCAGCCTGGAAAATACTTGTTCTTTCTGAAGATTTCTTTCCTGGGAGAAGCTTGGAACCAGACTGATCAGATTTTTCGTCTTCTTCAGTAATAGGATCCAAAGGAGATGCGTCATTAGTAGAAACACCTGAAGTACTGTAATCAACATCATTCCTCTTCAGCAAGAAGGACTTTCTTCCATCATCTTGTTTTTGTTCACTTTCTTTTCCTTTTTCCTGTTCTGCACTGGAATGCAAGGAACCCCCTGAGGTACTCTGCCCCATATAGAAAGCACTTGAGCTATGAGGGGAGGACCTACCACTTACTGTAGTAGAATTGGCGCCTCCTTCTAACTGTGACATTTGAGCAATATACTCTCTATATGCATCTCTGTATTCTGCCTGTACCTTGTCGGTAAGCTTTGATATTTCAATACTAGAATCTTGAGAGTTAAGACTTGAAAGACTTGGAGTTCTACGAGTTTGAGACTGGAGGAAAAAAAAAAGAGAGAAAAGAGAGAGATAACAGTTAAATGAAGTAGTTATTTCACTTCTAAATATTTTAAAATCTTTTAAAATTAAATAACTCAAAGCATCAAGTATGTGCTTAAACATTTTTTGTGGCTTTGAATAGATTATGCAAGTGAAATTGTCAATGTTATAATTAAAATATGTTTACTATAATCATACATATGCAATCACGTACACATTCACTAAACTTACAGAGTATCCTTATTGTTGGTCCCCATAATGGAAGATTTCCACAAAACAAGCATTTTATCCCGTGCATTTGAGGCTCTTTTGAGTACATAATTAAAACAATTGAATTTGTGTGTCAAGATGGGCTTTTCTAACACGTTTTGTACATTTACAAAATTAGCTATTTTCTACTAGAAAGGCAGCAAGAGTTCATCTAAATGCTGAATATCTCTCAAAAACATTTTTAAAAGACGCCCATCCTACATACTTCAATATATCCTGGCAAAATTTCATTGCACAGAGCTATTTCAGAAAAATCAGTTATTGGGCAAACACATTCCTCTGCCCCCACCTCTACTCTCTTTTAGTGTGCAGAGAATCATGTTTCAAAAAGCTACTTTCTACTAGAAAGTGATATTAAAAAAAAAAACCTAAAAGGGCTTGCGTGATTTTAACAAGCTAAATGTAAACAGGAAAATCAATATGTGGATTCAAACACTGAATTAATCTAAGATTTAGAACGGAATTGCTTAATCATACAGATATACCCTCTTGGTCCATCCTTCTCTTTCTCACTCTCTAATTTTCTTTTCTCCTTCCCCCCACCTTTTTTCTGCTCTTATATGTATCCTTCTTATCTTTTTTGTTTCTGTTAAATCATCTTTTCCTTTTAACATGTTTCTTTCCATCTCAGAAGATGCTCATAATCCCCCCAGCAAGCGACACACACAAAATCTGCAGGTTACCATTCCATTATTCCCTCTATATTACTAAACAAGTATTACTGGCAGCTTTTCATAGATCAATAATGTTGTATATACAAAAAATGTATGCTGGGCCCCCAGAATAAGGACATGGACCTGCTGGAGCGGGTCCAGAGCAGGGCCACAAAGATCATCAGAGGGCTGAAAGAGTTGGGGTTGTTCAGCCTGGAGAAGAGAAGGCTCTGGGGAGACCTTAGAGCAGTACCTAAAGGGACCTAAGAAGAAAGCTGGAGAGGGATTTTTTACAAGGGCGTGGAGTGACAGGACAAGGGGCAATGGCTTTAAACTGAGAGAGAGAAGATTTAGATTGGCTATAAGGAAGAAATTTTTTACAGTGAGGGTGGTGAGGCACTGCAACAGGTTGCCCAGAGGAGTTGTAGATGCCCCATCCCTGGAAGTGTTCAAGGCCAGGTAGGATGAGGCTTTGAGCAACCTGGTGTAGTGGAGGGTGTCCCTGCCCATGGCAGGGGTGTTGGAACTAGATGACCTTTAAGGTTCCTTCCAACCCAAACCATTCTATGATTCTGTGATTCTATGAATTCTGGGGAACAGCTAAAAACGATTAACTAAAGGAAAAGAGTATTTAAATTATTTCTATTTGCCATGACTCCTAAGCAACTCAATGCCCAAAGTAAAATGCAAGAATCTCAGAAATATTAACTTAATTATTTATGCATATTCACTACTATTTATCCATACTCACAGCAGCTATGGCTCCTCAGCAAAAGGAGAAATATTTGATTTTTGTTGGGCATTTCCAGCAGTATTCCGTCTTTTTACAAAGACGAAGCAATATTCTTTTTTAATCAGTGTCGAACTTAAAGGAGAATTCTAATGTCTTCTTACGGACAAACTATCTTTCTCGTTCTTTTGATTCAACTTCAGATAACTATACTGGCATCAGAAGCACTATTTATTTAAACTTGCATTTTAAAGAGTTTTTTAATAAAAAAGATTTCCATGTACTTCTTTCTGCGCATTTGATACAAAAACAACGTGACAAATGGGAGTCACGCCACTTTTATTTGGAAAAACATACACTCCATTGCTAGAAATAGGTGGTAAGGGTAATCGGGATCCTACAAACACACACAAGTGTGTAGTATGCACACACACAGAGGTATTTGGGATAGAAATCTATATCCAGGATATATATCCCAAACCTCTTTTCAGTGATAATTTTGAATACTAAAAATATCACCTATAGCTCGTCATTTGGGGTGACTTCCTATTTTGATGCACCTTCAAGATTTTCTAATTTAGACTTCCAGAGATGAAAAAGCTGCAAAATGTTTGGGGTTTTTTTGGTTTTGCTTTTTTAATTCTAATCACTATTTAGATACCAACTGATTTGTCTTATGTCTTAAAAAGGACAAAAGAAAATCACAAACTTCAGGTGATTTCATAAGATACAGAAGAAAATTGACTATAACCTATGGCAGAAACCATAGTTAGAGACTGATGTCAGCTCTGGAGTCTATGATTAGATTATGCATTGTCAGGACAAGACTCCAATGTAATGGAGCACTATAGTTCTCTATTTTAAAAACCCTAATAAATGTATTTGTAAACCTTTGAATAGCATAACATCTGGCTATCACAGCTAAAATATTTCATACACAAAGACTGAATATTACGATAAACAGACATCTTGCAGGACACTGCCCTAAGCTCGATCAGAAAAGCATGATGGCTTTGATTTTTTTTTCTCTTGAAGAGTGACTACTGGAACAGATGAATAGTTTTCAGATAGCAAAGACTAAAGACTGACTCAGAAAGTGTGGTTAGAGTTTACATCTCTGCAAAACTGGTCTCTGCCAAGACTGAGAACTGAAAGTACCTAAACTGTCACAGTAGATTTATTTCTTGACCTCTCTGTTTTCAAGAATGAAAACGACCCTTTACCACATGGGTAAGCAAGCAGAATACATTTCTCATTAAATACCTGCCAACTTAAGTTACTATGGCGTGGAGGAGCTTCATCCAGACCAATTGTGTTGAGTTCTTCAAAGCTGAAGTTCAGTGTGTAGGGAGCTTGACCCGAGAGACCTGTAAGCTCAGTGTGAGGCAACTCAGTGTTATGCCCAGGACGACGAGTAAGTTCACTGTGAGGAATTGCAGTGGTAACATGCTCAGTTGTTCCACGAGCGTCTTCCTGAACAGCCTGATTTTCTGAATTTCTCATTTCAAGTATCTTAACACACAACAAGAGACAGTATAAATGTAGTTACATAAACAGAAGAAGTTCTCGCAGTTGTTAAAGAAGAATTCTATTAAAAATAGGAAAAAGAAATTCACAACTATAGAAGTGTACTTGCATATGTGGTTGTGATCCTGGAAAAGTATGAAGAAAATCTGTTCACAGATCTAGTGCATTCATTATCTTTACTGCAAATCACATTTTAATATGTAAGATTTTTTTTTTCTGTTTACAGATTATTCTTATTACTGCTCAGACCCTTAAAAAATTCCTATGCCACAAAGCACTTAAATTATTGTAAAACTAGATAAGTGATAAATTACAAATTTAAAAGCAAAACCAAACACTTCTATTTTATAGCTTAATCAACCTGAATCTAACAATAAATCTCATCTCCTAATTCTCAGTGTTTTCAAGACTGATTTAACAGTTGAGAGACATACTGCTATTTTCAGAAAGAAAACTGGCAATATACTAAAAATACTTCAGAAAAACTACAGTTCTCTGTGATGCATAACCCTCACTGTAAAACTGTCATTTACTCTCAAACTAGGAGGAGGGAAATGGGCAAGAATAGGTATCTACAGATATGCTCCAATAATAGTATGCAAGCAGCATTTTCGCACTATGTAAGTATGTGTCAATCGAATATTCTACATTTATCTAATTGGCTTGATTTTTAGCTTAAGTTTCTTTAAAAATCATGTTCTGACAATTTAACTTAAATAGACAAATTTAGAAAAGGAGAAGAGAACCCATACAGGAAAAACAGATCTTGCAAAAAGAGGAGGCAAAACTTCAGAGTTCATCATCAATTAAGGTGCAAATCCATAGGCAACCAGTTCTTCATTAAAGTTCTCAAGACAAAAAGAAAAAGTAACACAATAATAAACGCATGTATGTTTTAAGATGACACTTATCATCTTAAAGATGATGATAACAGAAAAGCAATAGGAAAGAAAAAAAGATAAGGTTCATAAAGAAAAAACTAATTTATGATGACCTGAATATTGCAGAGGTCTTACCGTGCTCCTGAAGAGCTGCCAGTCACCAAAATTCATATTCATTTCTTTTTTCAGTTCATCGATGTTGCACTGAGCCAAGACACGGCCATTTATATTTGCCTAAAACAGTAAAACTAAATAATGTAAGTTACAGATACAAGACTTATGGCATGGCAGTAACAGACTGAAAAGTAATTAAAATTGGATATATTGATGAGGACTACTAGGGAAATTCCCCAACATCACTCTTAAGTCCAATTCTATGTAATAAACACGTTTTTATAAAAGACTATTTATTGATGATGGATAAGAAGAACCTATGTGCCATGGAAAAAATGAAAATATTAAACTCATCAAAAAGGCATACATGAAAGGCAATACAATTGTGTTCTATAAACAGACATAAGGAAACAACACATCAGTGGTAGAAAACTTCACAGACAATAAATCACATTCATCAGTCTACATATCTCAGACTCAGAACACAAAACGGACTGCAGATTCCCAAGCATCTGAAGATAATCAGACAATTAAGTCCCACACATCATCTGACCTCTGGCTTGAGGCATCTAAGATCAAGTATTTCTCCCATCAAGTTCCCTCCCTGCATAAACACAGGCTTACATTCATTCCATCATAAGAAATACCCATGGAGAGAAGACTACACTTCTTTCTAATTTTCATCATCATTGACGTGATCAGCATCGATGTGATCACATTTCATCACTTCTGTGATCAGCACAGAAGTGCCTAAACACCATCTATAATTCCAGGAAGGTGATTCCTTATGTTAGGCATGTTTATATAGTACTTAACTTCCAACAGCACCAAATTCAATACAGAACCATTTTCATTACGTAACAATGAGAGGTATTTCTCTTTGTACCATGCATCAGTGGATGGGCAGAATATAAACAAGGAATCGTGTCTTAGCAGAGCAGCCACAAAACGGAAGACCCAAGTTGAGCTCTGCTCAGTCTGAGGGATCTCAGTGGTTTTGTTCCCATATCCCAGCAGACGGTCTTAATCAAACCAGGAAAGGCTGAGCCATGTCCATTCTTCCTTTTTACATGATATCACTTGTAAGAAATGCAAGAATATAAATAAGAGGACTCTCATTAGAGATAACTGGTGAGCACATTCTTTCCGCGCCCTAGAGCCACTGAAGCAACTGAAATTTTTTGCAGTTATACTCAGTGAGCTGCAATCTGACATCCTACTTCTTGCTTTAAGCATCATTGCTGAAGATTCCTATGATAAACCTGTCTCTTAATCCTTGGATCAACATCCTCCCTGTTTTTTTAAGATATGATAGGCACTGGGACAAAGCGAGCTCAGCAAAAACATTTACTAATGACAACTTTTGTATTTTCCTCTTCTTTCTTTGTAAAAGGAGCCCACAGAACAGTAAAGAAAAAGTAATAAAGACAAAAATAATTCTGTGCTCATGTCTCAGGGAAAAGAGAAGTAACAGAAAAATGTACAGTGGCCTTTTTCTGAAGCAAATAGATGTGGAATGTGATAAGAGAGAAATGGAACCATCTTTTACAGTAGAAGAGGTTTGCCAATGTCTCAGGGGAAAAAAAACAACGGGATGTTGCTACCTGGATACAGAACACATTTGCAACCCTATTTATCTACACATGGCAACTCTGAAAACGTTTTTCTTGCTTCTTTTCTCAAAATAACCAGTCCCATCAGTATTTATTTTTCTGAGTCTGTTTTTCCTTTTTGAAAGACAGCATTTTCTCTGAAAAATATATAGAATCATAGAATGGTTAGGGCTGGAAGGGACCTTCAAAGGTCATCTAGTCCAACCCCCCTGCAACAAACAGGGATATCTCCAACTAGATCAGGTTGCTCAGGGCCTCATCCAACCGGGTCTTGAACATCTCCAGGGATGGAG